GTATGTCATTTAGCATTGGTTCATTTTGAGATTCAACAAAAAGAAGACTAAGTTTTTCTGTAGCCACACCGAGAAAAAAGAATTGTTGTAGTTACTAAAAATTAAGTCCGCACAAAAATTCCGAATTGTCAATATAGAACCAGCAGTTCTATTTGTTTTTGAGACAAAAAAAATTGTTAAAATGGGATTGTTATTAAAACTATTCGGATTGTTCGGTGAACAAAGAGAATTGTTTGATGAACAAAGAAAATTGTTATGGAACATTTGAAATAACAAAACTAAATTGTTGAATCGTCAATACAATTTGTTCTATTAACAAAGCTTTGATCCGTCTAATACAATTTGTTCAGTTTCTTCGCCTTCAAAAATAATCGATAGCAGATTTCCGTAGGTCATATCACCAGTTTCATTAGCATTAAAATCTGTGGAACATGCAGCTTCTGAATCAAATTCTTTGACCTGAACCCAAAAAATTATTTTGAGTTGAAATTTGTTGTTAAATAATATTTAATATACATTTTGTATTTTTAAGCTGATGTTATGTTCAATAGTAACCGAGTATAACTTACCGATAAACAATGAAATTGTATCTTCATCCACTCACTACACTTGAAATAGATTTTTCACTTTACCCGGATTCATTATTTAACAGCACTTTGTCATTTAAAAAAAACTAATAATAAAAGCATAAGTGGCACATGTGCCAGAAGCAAACGACACGACGATCTGCACGCCAGTTTGCGAAAATTCAAAATGACCACGTGACATGGAACAATAAACCTGTCAGTTGAACAAATCCGGATTGTTCCATCAGCAACACAGCCCCACAAAAAAAAGTGTCGTGCGCGGCAAACCAGACTAGTCATTTCCTATGTATTTTGACGCGCTGAACACGAATCCGTAGTCCGTTTTGCTCCATCACGTCAAGATTTTTTTCTAACCTCCAAAAACCTGTCGGACTTTGAGAGGTAGGCTATTTTTTTTAAAAATTGATGGATTTACTTCAAACTTGGTATCTAGGGGTTTTTTGGGTCGCTGATGACGAATTTGAAGTTAGATTTTCAAAATTCAAAATGGCGGCTCCAATATGGCGGACGAATTTTGTAAAAATTGATGGATTTACTTCAAACTTGGTATCTAGGGTTTTTTTGTGTCGCTGATTACGAATCTATACGAATCTATCACATTTTGAACCCCATGCAGGGGATTCAAAATGTGACATTTCATAACAGTCTACCAAAAAACATTTAGGAGTAGCCATGGCTACTCCGAAATGTTTTTTGGTAGACTGTTATGCAGCGGGAACTATAACTTTTTGTTTTGTAATGAACCAGTTTACTATTCTCAAGAACTGACAGTTCGTCCGCCATATTGGAGCCGCCATTTTGAATTTTGAAAATCTAACTTCAAATTCGTCATCAGCGACCCAAAAAACCCCTAGATACCAAGTTTGAAGTAAATCCATCAATTTTTAAAAAAAATAGCATACCTCTCAAAATCTGACAGGTTTTTGGAGGTTAGAAAAAAATCCTGACGTGATGGAGCAAAACGGACTACGGATTCGTGTTTAGCGCGTCAAAATACATAGGAAATGACCAGTCTGGTCTGCCGTGCACGACACTTTTTTTTGTGGGGCTGTACAATCGACAGAGAGTTTGCTTCTGTAACTGTACGGCGTTGCAAACTGAACAAATCTGACAACAGAAAATTCGTGTTGTTGTTAAAACAACATACATTTGTATTGACAATAATCCGAATTTTAATTTTAACATTTCTAAATTGTAATATCAACAAATCTACTGACAACAACCCAAAAATTGTTTGCACAACAATCCCATTTTTCTCCATGGCAGTGTTTCATGTTAAATTATGCGTTCACGATGACTTTATTGTAATTAAAACAATTATTATTATTATTTTTAATTTTTAATTAACATTGGAACTAATGGTAGATTTGAACTTCAAACTCGTTTTTTTCTAAATTAGGTTTTTGGCACTTCTAACTTTGAATTTTTATAACTTTGCAAATTTTTCACTTAAAGTGGCTTAAGACCACTCAAATTGTTTGAAATTTAATCAAGAATACACTCATGCAAATAAGTCCAATAGTTCCAAAGTGGTCCCTTTTCATGCAGACATACACATATATGATTGAAGTTAGCTGAATATAGAAATCATTCGATTGAGGCAGCTGCTGCATCAAATTTTCTTCAGTGTTGACTGTCAAGGGATTAAACTTAATTTTTTACTAAATTCTAGTGAAAAATTTTAGATACTATTTATCTCGGCGAAATAAATTGGAGCCGAGGATTTAACTTGAATCCGTGGTTCTTGCGCAAATGTAAACGAAATCTTTTTTATCTGTTTATTTATTCCTCCATGTATTTAAAAAGAAGATCTAAGTGATGTGCAATTTCATGAAAGAGCGAGGCAAGAAATCGAGTTTGTATGAATGTTTTTCAGGAGAGAAAAAAGCCACAGAGAAAGAGTAAAAGGCCAGGGTTGGTTCAGTGCTCGTTATCTAAAAGTGTTGCTAGTTAAAATAGATGCCAGAGAGAGTGAGAGAGAAAGAGAGGTGTGTGTGTGTGTGCTTCATCTCTTGTTGACGACATGGTTCGTTCATTGTATACGACATTCTCTTAGACGTCGGTGTGAGAAAACACGAGGCGATTCGAGGACCGTTTACGTGTGTAAGAAGCCTAATGCTATGGAAATTGGATGTCGAGAGAAAACAGAGGGATAGATCGAGCACCTCTTGGGGAGGATATATAGAAGAGGTCAGGGGGTACAGAAAGGGGAGAATGTGTTCACTCTGAGAGTATGGGATCGCGTGTGTGCCTACATATGAAAGTCTTTCTTTAGGAATATATGTACGTACACACGTACGAATACCATTCAATATATGTGTGTCAGTTTCTTCAGAAGTTTCCAGTGGAACTAAGAAAAGAAGAGGCGAAGCTAAAGGAGACGACACAAGAGTCGTTCGGTGCCTAAAGTTCAGATGAGAGAGAAATCTAAATACAAAGTGGCGTTGTAAACATTGACTTATATCCATCTATGGGTTTAATATTCTGTTAAATTTTCTTCTTTTTTATATAAAAAAAACTAGAGTCGTTTTTTTCGCACAGCCTTTTTAATTTCTTACATTAAAATATGAGTTTAATGGAAAACTTCAAAAATAATCCTGATTGTTTAATTATGTTTAATTATATTGCAGTTTATGATTTTAAGTTTATTATGTTGACGGCAATTGCTGACTATTTGTGTTTTATCTTTTATCTTATTTTTCCAAATTAATAATTGTGAACACTTGGAATTTTGGAATATTCATTGAAAAAAGTGTTTGATTTTAAAAACAAAAACATTTCGTTGGTATTTTTCTGTTGTGTCAACAAAAATTTTGGTTATCCTAACCTAATTTTCATTAAGACAACAAAAATCAATCAAACATTTATTTTATTTATAGGTCAAAAAAATATTTATTTTAATTGAATAAATTTTGTTTGAAATAACCAAAAAAAATGGGTTAATACAAAAAACATGGTATATTTGATTCAAACAAAACTTTTCAGTATTCTATTCAGACGGACAGAAGCGTCGTTATTTTTTCGTATTTCATGTTATATGGTTGGCATTTATGACTGTCATTAATTCATAACTTCCTAACTTAAAAAATTTTTGAAGTTAATTTCATAAATACTTACTTTAAATCGGAATTAGGGAAAATTTTAAATAATTTCAATTAATGAAAAATTTTATTAAATTTAAATTTGAACTAATTCATAGAAAAAATTCAAATATTAGTTAAAAAATTTACTAATTTTGATTAAAAATATAGATACTTTGATAAGTTTAAAAATAATCACATGCGGACATTTTAATTATTAAACACATTTTTTCTGAGCTTTGCATGTAAATATTTCTTATAGATTGCAAAAATAAACTTTAGAAAATGTTCAAGAAATTCCTTGTGCTGTGTGTGCAATATAGCAGATTTTGTTTTATTTTCGCTTTTGTTTTATCATTATTTATTTTTTGTTATTGTTCTTCTGATATTTTTTTTTCTGTATACATTTTATGAATTTATTTTTATTAACGTTGTTAAAGTGCTATTTATAACTGACCTATCAATTTAGGTTACTTTATGAATACATATAATTGCTTTTGGGAAAAAAAAATAAGTTTGGTTAACTGAACAAAAATCTCGTTAAGCTGAAAAAATTAGTTGTTCCAATGCAGTGAAATGGTTTAAATGGTTTGTTGATTGAACAAGAAGCACATCAGTTTTTTCACGGACTTTATGTTTTTTTATCATCATCATATATATATATATATATATATACATATATACCGTCAAACGAAAATTTCCAACTCTTTTTAAACGATGTATTTAAAATTTTAATAATCTTTGACCCAATTTCAAAAAAGTCGTGACACAGTTATACGATTAGTTTTTTAAATATAAATTTTACTGTTTTGTTCTCTATATGTACATATATGTATATATCAGCTTTTTGTGTAATTTGAAGAAAAATTTGTTTTTATATCGAAAATTTAAAAAAATATTTTTGATGTATAAAATAAAAAATTGTCCATGTGGAAAATAAATGACTAAGTTTTTATATACTGAAAATCTTTTTAAAAATTTAAGGATGTTAAGTCACGTGATTTCACATCACGCAAGGTCATATGTAAAAATTTCTTTTCAGTTTTTTTTTTGTTTTTTAAATATTTGACAAAATGTTACATCTCCTGAGCACCTTACGACATTTTTATAATGGTTTTAAACTTGTTCATAAAATGTTAGTTCAATCCATGAAGAATTTAACGAGAAAACCTTTAAGGAGAAAATTTACATGTGACCTAACATTCACATGCCCTTAATGTCCAATTCTTTTTTTTTATCTTTTTTTTTATATTTGAAAATGTTAAAAGAAAAATTAAAAATAACACTTAAAATGTAAAATAAAAATAAAAAATATATTTTCTTTTTGTTTCAGGACCTGAAGAATCAGATCATGACAACGAACGTTTGGGTGGAGCAGGTATGTTTTTATCGACTTTTTTTTACTTTTCTGGTTTTTGTAACGTTCGAGTTTTACGGGTACGTAGTTGTCGCATTGAACACTCGATATTTTAGACGGGATAGTAAGCGAGCAGGACAGGAAATTTCATTACGGGCTCTTCGCTCGACGTTTGTGATTGAGGGTAAATGGAAGGATTTCAGAGTACTCGAAATGTCGGTGACACTTTCTACGCGAGAGCGACTATTATGAGGAATTGCCGTCGAATTTACGTTCGCACGGAAATTCTCGTTGATTGCACCTAGGATCTATTCATTTTTCGATTTTCCAATGACAAACACATTCATTACAGATATTACTTTTTTCACTTTCGAATAATTATCTTCTGTGGAATTGAAACTAAATGAAACGTAAAATATAGTTAACTATTTTTTTATTTTACATTGAAAAAGAAAAAAAAATCTCACTGTCAATAAGTTAATTGATTTTTATTTTTAATATATTATAAATGCTTTAAAGAGAAAACCGATTTTGTAAATATTGACAATGCTAAAAGTGGAGACATAATGTTTTCTTGATATTACGAAGAAATCCTGACATTTGATAAATTACAGCTCGATTTAAAACGTTTTTGCTTCTTTTGAATTTTACTTGTATAGTCATCTTTAATGCTACAATCTGCAATACGAAAGTATGGTTTAAGTAACGTCACATTAATTCTGAACTCTCTCTCTTTCTCTCTCGGTTCTTCTTGTATTCCTTATGCATTTGGAGCGAATGAGAATTTATGGTACTTTAAAACTTTGTCGATCCGCTAAGTCCTATGAGAAATATTGAAACCTCAAAATGTTCTTTGCATTTAAGTGAAACTCGTGGCAATTTTACAAACTTTTCACATTTTACTTGATAATGCGTACACATTCTTATATCTTATTCTCTCAATTAAAATTGACATTTGCAAAGCTTGAAAAAATATTTTTTTTTATTTATTCACATTAATATTAATAATTACCACACTCTCAATCTGTATTATTAAAAATTTTAACTGTTAATCAGTAACTGATGTTTTGTTATATGAATAAAGTTCAATTTAACCGGGGATCCTGCTTTACACGGTCAAAAATATATAAAAAAAAAATTTTTTTGCCAAATTTTTTAGATGATACATCTAAGAATATGTACCTAAAGTTTTAGAAGACAATCTAAAGTATTTTTTAATCTACAAAACTAAATGCATCGAGGAGTCGGAATTCAATGGCGTTAGTCGTTTTTTATGATCGGGTCAAATTTTTTAAATAATCGACATTTTGTTTTTTTTGTCCATTATCAAAATACAACATTTATTTTAATCAAAAAGAATAAAATTAACTTGAAACTCGTTACTAGGGGGTTTTCGTGGTTTCTGATTTCGAATCCGGTGTCAGTTTTTCAAAATTCAATATGGCGGACTTTTATTTAAAAATCGTTCGAATTCGCTTAAAATTTTCTACATAGGGGTTTTCGTGGTTTCTGATTTCGAATTCAGTGTCAGTTTTTTAAAATTCAAAATGGCTGACCAATATGGTAGATTTAAAAAAAATCGTTCCGATTCAAGCAAACTTAAATGATTTTTGAAAAAAAAAGTAAAAAAAAAAGTCAGTTTCAAGTCAATTTTATTATTTTTGATTAGGAAAAATGTTGTATTTTGATAATGGACAAAAAAACAAAATGGGTATTATTTAAAAAATTTGACCCGATCTTGAAAAACGGCTAACGCCATTGAATTTAGCGCCCAAAATTAGGTTTATACACTATATGCCAAGTTTGTTCATTTTTTGAACTATCACAGTGTATTCAATTTTTTAAGATATAAATTTTCTTAACAAAATATTATACTCTTTCACATGACAATTATTTCTTATACTATTTTTGAGATTTTCACAAAATTTTAGCTTAATATATGAAATATTTTGCGCGGAAATCTGCGGAGAATATTTGTATATGAAGTAACAACAATCACATGACCTTAATAATTATTTAGAAAAATAAATAATTAACAAAATTACATTTTGTATTTACACGGATGCAATTATGTATATTTTTACTTTGACTTTGGCAATCACTTTAATTTTTAATTTTTTACTGAATAATGAGAAGTAAAAATCAAAAACCCCAGTTTGCACTAAATAAATTGAAAATCCCAAAGATAATTTAATACCTAAGTTAAAATTCGTATATTGACCTATTTAGACTTGGTCGTATTGTCGTGGGGATTTTGTTATTTTAAAAGCAAAATAGCTTTAAAAGTGCTCAAATCTTTTTAATACGCGACCTCAAAAACTATAAGATTGTTGAATTGTTTTTGTCAGCGTAGTAAGTTTTATTTTTATGATTTGTTTAATAATTTTTCATATGATTTTGGTGAACTAGAAATAAAGTTTTTTCTCACATTACAAGTAAAAAATCTCAAGTAATTTATATAAGTGAAATAATATTTAAATATTTATAAAATTATAATATTAAATGTGTCGAAATAATTTTGAAATTATCTTTATATCTACGCGTCACGAGTTGTATGTTTACATTTTGAAATACATACAATGAGTATTGAAAATCATAAAAACAATTCAATCAGTTGCAATTCGTGTCTTGACCTGTTTAGACGTGATCAACGTTAGTGTAAATGTAATTTTAAAATCAGTGTTAAATATAGGTATCTTTTTTAATTGTCTTATTAAATGTTTTCACATTATCTCTAGTGAATAACTTCAGGAGTGCTCGAACCTTTTAATTCGCGAACGAAAAAATTGTAGTGTTTAACTTTTTTTTTGTCATTTTAGTAATTTTTTATTCCGTGAGTATTCGAAATTATTAAAATCGCTATCGCTTAAATTTTGAGAAAAAGTATTTTGTTGTTTTGTAATTTAAACATGATTTCGGGAGTGTTTGAAAATTTTTTAATCGCGTGTGTTTCTGCCACATCTTATCGTATAAAATAATAACAGTTGCAGGTTAAGGTTAGAGATCTTATATTTTTTAAAATAATAATTACATGCAATTAATTTCACTATTTAATAATATTACATCTATTTTTTTACAAGAAGATTATTAATGTTTTAATGCTCAGGAAATTATCTTTCAACCCTAGAAAGCACATCTTTGGGTAGAAAAATTACCCAAAAAAAAATTCAAATTTCAGGGTTTTTTTTTTAAATTTTGTGTTTTTTGTTGTGGTTTTTAAAATTTTTTGGCCATATTTTTGATCCTATCAAAAAACAAAAACGCTATCTTCTTCCTTATAAAAAACTGAAGAAAATTATATATTGTAAAGTTATTTTGCCTTAAATATGAACATTCTAGCAACAAAACAATTTTAAGGTGGTTTTCTACCCCAAATGTACTTCTATGTATGAGTCAGCTATGTTTGTGCTGTCTAGGGTTAATAGAATTGATTACATTTTATATTTAGGTAATTATAAAGGAAGGCACTACATTTATTTTGATCCCTTTTAATTTTAATGATCGTACGATGTCATAAATATTTTTTTTGCATCATTTGGGTCCTAAAAATATACCAAGAAAAGATAATCTTCATTTTTGACCATTTTAGAATACATAGGTATTATTGTTGTAAACCATATCATCGGAACGTCAAAATATTATTGAACAAATTTTAATCAATTTAATTTGGATGATACGGCTTAAAATAATACAATATTTAAAAATACTTTTAATAAAATAAAATATGTTTTGAAAGTCGTATACATGCGTTAGCTTTTGTTAGTGGTATATTTTGAAATAAAATACTATAAGAATGATTCCACACTGATCACACTTTTGAAATCTATTGCAATTGTAGTGAATGGATGAAGAGACAATTTCATCATTTATCGGTAAGTTATACTCGGTTACTATTGAACATAACCTCACCTTAAAATACAAAATGTATATTAAATATTATTTAACAACAAATTTCAACTCAAAATAATTTTTTGGTGTCATGTCAAAGAATTTGATTCAGAATCTGCATGTTCCACAGATTTTAATGAAAATGAAACTAGTGAAATCTGCTATCGATTATTTTAGAAGGCGAAGAAACTGAACAAATTGTATTAGACGGATCAAAGCTTTGTTAATACAACAAATTGTATTGACGATTTAACAATTTAGTTTTGTTATTTCAATTTTATTTGTTCATCAAACAATTCTGTTTGTTCACCGAACAATCCGAATAGTTTTAATAACGACCCCATTTTAACAATTTTTTTTGTCCCAAAAACAAATAGAAATGCTGTTTCTATATTGACAATCTGAAATTGTTGTGTGGAAGTAATTTTTAGTAACCACAACATTTTTTTTTTCTCCGCGTAAGTAGAATTTACATGAATTTACTTTTCTCGCTTTTATATGAACTCACGGAAGTATATATTATAGTTGTATGTAAAATTAGAGTTGTGAAAAAATACTGGTTTTAATTTTTGTTTTTTCTCTTTTTTTTGACCGTCATTTCCCGTTGTTCGTTATTTGGCATTATTTTTATTTTGACGTTCATGGTAGTATTTCACAATAATTCTATTTTAGTTTATTATTGGAGAGTTTCGATTTAGTTTCTCTATTGCCTATACACATATTGAATTTATTTTGTCGAATTCTGAAATTTTCAATGTAAAATTTTTGTCTCGATGGTACATTGAAAAATAGTTCTTTTAAATTTAGTTTATCTTTTTTAAAAACCACATCTCTTTGTAATTATCTCCTGTAGAATTACTCTGTAATTACTTTGTTGAATCGTTGAAAATAATTAACTAGAAAAGTTTGTAGAAAATTAGTTATCGTAACTATTTTTTTTTCTTTTTCCATTTTTTCAGCTATTTTTCTTTTTAAATATTCATTTAAAAAAAAATTGTGAATTACTTTAAAAAAGTCACAAAAATTATAAATATTGTAGAATAACGTTTAATTATCATTGTTTATAAAATTCTAACATAAACGTAAATGCAACGTAATGCGGGAAACAAAATTTATTGTTTTAATAGTAAAAA